ACACACACACGCACACACACGGCTGGATATCGCGTTCGTCATAACCGAATCCACCCCGATCATCCCATCCCCATTACTGTACGGTGGTCGCGCCTTCGCCTTGTGAGACTAAGACGTCGCGACCCTCCTCAAATTGGTGGGTAAATAGAGTCGGCCGCGGTCCGCGGGCCCCGCCCCGCCGCCGCTGGTGGCTGCGGAGTCTTATGGATATGAATAAACGAAGATCGGGACAAACAATGCGATCCGAAGGACAGTCCGCCACAAAAGGCAGGCGGCTCTGTGCGGCGAGTCCCGGACACCACGCCGACGGCGAGGCCGACGCCAGACCGCCGAATCGGAACGATGCCAACACACGCGTTCCGTGTAACCGCTTCATATCGGCGAGTGCGGATGTAAATTTGTCGAGGGAAAAGTTGGCCGCGGACAAGTTTCCACGGCGAACAACGCCGCATAACTTTGCCTTTGAGGAGCAGAGCAGCGCGAAGCAGCGCGGCGGTGCTGCAAGTTGCTGCAAGTTGGCGCTCGGCGAAAGGGCGCGCTGCGACTCGGGCGACTCGGGTCACGAACGAGAATGCTCTTATTACGCAGTGTCTGTCCAGCCAATGATCGGCGCAGCTCGGAAAAAAAGGAAGAAAAATCCGCGTGATTCCTGGCGCTTCGTCGCTCTGTCTCTCTCTCTGCCGCTTCGGGCCGCGCCAAGAGAGCGACAGAGAGTGTTCGGAATCAGCTCGCAGCCACCCTCGACATTCGGGAAATTATTCGCCTTGCTCGTTGCCCACCCTTACCCTTGCAGTCCGTTCCAGCCCTTGCCCGGCCTGCCTGGCCTACCGGGAAGGGTCCGCTGCGGTCATTCATATGTATGCCCCGATTTTGCAATTTTTATTGAGCAATTTTTGTCGTGGGGGAGTCGAGTGTGTTCCTGCGTTCTTGTTAGGCCCACAGTCAAGGTAAACACCGCGTCCGATATTCCCGGAATCCATACGCACGCCTTGCGGTGTGGCGGTAAACGGCGGGGAAGTCTCGCGCTGGCGGCGGCGCGGGTTCGAGTACCGCCCTGGTTGCACTTTTGGCGAGATTAATGCCCGGCAGGCTGGCTCGCGTCCACGAAGGCCGCGGAGGCCGCGATCCCGCCCAGATAAAGCACTGTAAAATATTGGAGGGCGTCGCGGCCAACGTCCTGGGCGCCAACAACAGAGCGCCCGGAAAATGATGCAAAATTTTGGCCCCGCCCCGCCTCGCCCCACCCCACCCCGCCCCGCCCCGCCTCGCCCTGCCCCGCCCCGCAGGCGGCGGCAGCCATCAGATAGCGGCGCACTTTTACCAGTGGCGCGGCGCACGGCACACGCTCGCCAATAAATTGGGCCGCCTGTCGAAAATTCCTGCTCGTCCATGGATCACGGCGGCGGGATTTGGCCAGAGTCACCGCCGGCCTCGACATCTCGGTATCGCGATATCGCGATATGGTGGCCGCCGGCCGGAAGGTCACATGCAGTCTGACCCCCAACGAGAAAAAGTTTCGAACAACTGTCTTTCAAAATTACTCGACGTGGAGTGTTACTTTGTTTTGAAAAATGTTTTCGTATTTGTGTTTTGGTGTTGCTGGGGGAAGGAAGGGGAGGAGTGTTTACCGTCTCTCTTTTTTTTCGGCGCGCGTTTAGGGACACTCCCCACTTTTCGTCTCACTCCCTCTGGTGCAGCGGGTGCCGATGGGGGAGCCGGCGGGGAATGCAGCCGTAGGGCCGCGACACTCGCCCTGTTTCTCTCGCACTCACGGCCGCGTTCCGCAGGGGTGCGAGAGAGACAGACGGTCGCGGAGGCGGCCGGCAGGGGTGCTGCGCTGCGCCGCGCTGCAGGGTGGGGATGACTCTCCGCGATCTGCACGCACGATAAAAACGCAAAACGCGACGCGCCACATCACTGCTAGCCGCGGCGGCCGGAGGGGAGAGGGCGAGATAGAGAGAGGAGAGAGAGAGAGAGAGAGAGAGAGAGAGAGAGAGAGAGAGAGAGAGAGAGAGAGAGAGAGAGGGCGCCGGCCGGTGATATGACGGCCGCGACTTAAGCCCTTAAACCCTTGAACACGGCCGCGCTCCGCGCTATCGACTACCCTTATCGCCCATACCGCGGGCCTCTTGGCCATCCCTCACGGGGCAAAGGACACCGGAGTTACTGCGCAAAAAGGCCGCCTTGCATCCGTCTCTCTCGCACTCACGGGCACCCCGCAAGGGTGCGAGAGAGACAGAGCGCGGAATGGACCCCCGCCGCGCCCGCGCCCCGAACCGTCTCGCCCCCGCCTCAGACAAGATCAGTGTTTACTTCGGACGGACTCTCTCGGCCCTTCCAGCCCTCGGCCCTATCGGCCATCCGCAGTGCAGCCTGCACCATTACAAGGCCTGCTGGAGGACTGTCCCCTCGATTGCTGCGGGGCCCCGAGACGCCGAGAGTGCAAGTGAGGCGGGAGGGACGCCGAAGGGACGCCGACGTCGGGAGGCTTAGCCACTTCCTCGCGGACCGTTTGCCGCGGGCTGCTTCTGCAGGGCTTCGTCGCTCTTCTCTCTCGCACGCAAACGGCGCGCCCCACGAGTGCGAGAGAGACGCAACAAAAGCGCCGTGTTCGGGAGCGCCGCCGAGACGGAGGGGCGCGCCGTTGACTCAGTGCATAGGCAATAATATAGACACGGCTCGCGCGCTTGCGCGCCTTTAGCGGTGGTTACAGTGTACTGTACCAACCGCAGTCGAGAAGCGAAGCCGCGATTTCCGTCTTTCTTCGATTTCTTTTCGAATTGACGCGCTAGGCCGGCCTCTCGCGGCCGCGCTCTAGTCACGTAGAGCCCGCTCCACACCCTGGCCGCGCGCCCCGCCACGCCGCTACGGCTTTGCTCAATCGGAATGATGGGTCTGCTCGGTCGTGAAATTGGCTGCGTGTGCTTTGCGACGCGTTTGCCGTCTTGGCGCGGCGCGATGACGTCATAGTGCCGTCGGTGCATCCATGTGCGGCGACAAAGGGAACGGAACGGGCATTCCCGCCGAAATTGCCTGCCGCGTTGTGAAGGAGGCACTTTGCTGTAAGAACGCCGCCCCCCGGCGCGTTGTGAATTTTGGCCGTTTAGCGAGGGGCGCGTCCGCGCTGGAGCGAAATCTCGCTTTCCTCATTCATTCATTGTCTTCGGCGTCGTGCTTCTCGACGCGGGCCTCCACCCCTTGGCAGCGCCCTATCCTCGACGGGGTGCTCTGCTCGGCTCCGGGGCGGGAGCGGCACTGACGCCGCGCCACCGTTTGCCGCTGCCGCCCCCGCCGCCCCTGCCGCCCCCGCCGCGCCGCCCCCGGACTCCCGGGCCGTTAGTTCCGCCTCCGGCCGCCGGCAGCGCCACCTTCCACCGCGCTGCTTCGCGCTTGGCGCTGCTCGGCCGGCGAGGCGAGGCGAGGCGTCCCGAGTCCGGCCACTCCGTTCCGTTCCGGCCGTTCCGGCCCGGCCGCCTTGTGGCCGTTATTTCCAGTGTGGACGACGGCCTGCCTCTTCCTGGCCTTCCCGGCCTGGACGGCGTGGACGGGCCGCGCCGGCGGAAGGAGAGGGTTGGTCGCGATAATCAAGACAGGCGTATCAAATAAATCTAAAAAGGGGTGCAGGAAACAACAAGAACAAAGACATGTCACATTGTCGCTGCGGCGCGCGCCGTCGCTGTTGTTGTTTTTGGCGGCGGCAGGGACAGGGAATGCCACAGCGCGTTTATCAGTGGCGCGGCGGGCCTTCGCCGAAAGCCAGCTGGCCGCCCGCCGGGACACGCGGCGGCGATTTCGGTTGGCACGCGTGTCTCTCCAGCCTTGGCGAGCTGGCCGTGGCTGGCCGGCCAGCGATAAACAGCAATCCATCATACGGAATCTCCTCGCACTATACTGCGTGCAACGCGTGCAACTGCCCTCAGGGGACGCGGTCGGCGGGGACGGCGGTCCGAATTCCAAAGGCCTGCAAAGGGATGCTCCGTAAAGCAAATCCGCGGCGCGTTCTTACGGAGGCGGGATCCATTTGACTCCCCATTGGTCGCGTGGTCGATTCGATCTTAATCAGAGCGACTTACGAGGCCCACCCCTCCACCATCTTTGCGTACTCCTTGTCCACCTCACCCCCGCGACGCCCTGGGAGCGCGGCGAGCGCTGCAGCGGCTGCGGCTGTGCGGCGCTGGGGCTTTGTCCAGCGGAGGAAGGAACCTCCCCGCCCTCGCCCGCACTCCCCCGCACTCCCATCCCCTCCCGCCGCGACGGCGCTCCCCTTCCCCTCCCCTCCCCTCCGCCGAGACGGCCGGGCGGTGGCGGGGATGGAGGGGAGGGGAGTTTCGGCTCCGTCCCGCGCCTCGCCCCGCCGCGCCGCGCCGCGCTTTCAGTTCAGTTAGTTGCGTGCGCGCCGTGGTCGAGGAGGGTCGCACGCTGGAGGAGTCCGCCGCGCCGCGCCTCCGCTCCGAGACAGAACGAAACCGTCAGTCCGACTGCCGACTCGGCCCACTCGGTCCCGCGTCATTGGTGTTCCTGCCTCGCTCGCGGCCACACGGCGCCACACGGCGACACACGCCCCCAGCGAGCCCCAGGCCGTCACCAGCACGAGCCTGCACTCGATCTAGCCGATCACGATCGCCGACGACTTGGGTTTTCCCTGTGCGGGAAAAACTTGTGCTGCATTTTCGGGCGTTCCCTGGATTTTTCGCCTTTTCGACTTTACGGATAACAGTGCTTGTGAACTTTGCCAGTGACATGTGCCCCGCCGTGATTTGTGGATAAACTTCAATTGCCGCCGAGTTTGTGAATGTGAAAGTTGTTTTTTGCCGCTTTCTTTACTTTTTTTCTGGTGCCGCGCGTCAGTGATTTGTGCGCCGCGGGCGTGTGAGTGAGTGAAGTGAGCCAAGTTTGAGTGCGAGTGAGATGAACGCCCCTGAGCCGGCTTCGTGACGCGTCGTGCCGCGCTGCGCTCCACCATGTGTGCCTGCACTGCATGCACTGCCCGCGCCTTGCTGGCCGCCCTCTGCGCCGTGGCCGTCCTGGTGGCCGTGGCCGCGGACGTGGCCGTGCCGGGCGGCGCTAGCGCGGCGGCCCTGCTGCCCCCGCACCACCAGGCCGCCGAGCCGGCCCCGCCGTCGCTGCGCTACGAGGCCCCCAACGACTGCCAGTGGTGGGTGCGCGACAACGTCCAGGACGAGGTGTCGCTGGCCTGCAAGCTGCGCACCATCAACTCCGAGTTCGACAAGACCAACTTCAGCGTCATCCCGTCGGAGCACACCACGTCGCTACGCATTGAATGCAGTGACGCGCTCATGTCACGCAGCTCGCTAGACGACCGCGGCTTCTCGCACCTCGTCCGGCTCCGCGAGCTCATCCTGGAGAGCTGCAAGTTGGCCAAGTGGCCACGCGGCGTGCTGTCCGGGCTGTGGGACCTCCGCAACCTGACCGTCAACACCCGCAACACCGACTGGACCGACATGAGCCTCGAGCTGGCGGCCGGCAGCTTCGAGGCCGTGCCCAAGCTCGAGCGCCTCGACCTGAGCTACAACAACATCTGGTCGCTGCCGGACAGCCTGTTCTGCCCGCTCAGCAACCTGGTCAGTCTCAACATGAGCCACAACAGGCTGCAGGACGTCGGCGAGCTGGGCTTCCGCGAGAAGACGCCGCCGGCCCTGCCGCTCATCAGCTCGCCCGAGCAGGCCGACGTGGCCACCATCGCCACCGCGCTGCGCCCGTCCTCCGTGTCCTGCCTGCTGGACGTGCAGGTCCTGGACGCCTCCTTCAACCACTTCGTGCTCATCCCGGCCAACGGCTTCAGCCTGCTGCGCCGCGTGCGCGAGCTGCACCTCCAGAACAACGAGATATCCATGGTGACGGACCGCGCGCTCGCCGGCCTCAAGAACCTGCAGGTCCTGGACCTGTCCAACAACAAGATCGTCGCGCTGCCCGGCGACATGTTCCGCGAGTGCGCCGACGTGGTCAAGGAGATCTACCTGCAGAACAACTCCATCAGCGTCCTGGCGCCGGGTCTGTTCGGCGGCCTGGAGCAGCTCCTGGCCCTGGACTTGTCCAGGAACCACCTGTCAAGTGCCTGGATTAACTCAGGTACCTTCTCAGGTCTGATCCGGCTTGTGCTGCTCAACCTGTCCCACAACCGCATCTCCAAGCTCGAGCCCACCCTGTTCAAGGACCTGTACACCCTGCAGATCCTGAACCTGGAGCACAACCAGTTGCACACTATTCCGGCCGAGACGTTCGCCCCCATGAACAACTTGCACACTCTTATCCTGTCGTACAACCTCATCAAGTACCTGGACGCCTACTCCTTGAACGGACTGTACGTGCTGAGCCTGCTGTCGCTCGACAACAACGTCATGGAGAGCACCCACCCCGACGCCTTCAGGAACTGCAGCAGCCTGCAGGACCTGAACCTGAACGGCAACGCCCTGACCTCGGTGCCCCTGTCCCTCAAGGACATGCGCCTGCTGCGCACGGTCGACCTCGGCGAGAACTCCATCACGAGCCTGGACGAGCCCGGCTTCAAGGGAATGACCAACCTGTACGGCCTGCGGCTCATCGGCAACCAGCTGACCAACATCAGCAAGAAGTCGTTCGTGGAGCTGCCGTCGCTGCAGATTCTGAATCTGGCGCGAAACAAGATCAAGCAGGTGGAGAAAGGGGCGTTTGACACCAACAGCAACCTGCAGGCCATCCGGCTCGACGCCAACGTCATCACGGACATCACGGGCCTGTTCGTGGACGTCAACAGCCTGCTCTGGCTCAACATTTCTGACAACCACCTGGAGTGGTTTGACTACGCCCTGGTGCCCCGCGGGCTGCAGTGGCTCGACCTGCACAAGAACCACATCACAGAGCTCGGCAACCACAACGGTCTGGACTCGGAGCTGCGGCTGCAAACTTTGGACGCAAGTTTCAACAAACTGACACGCGTCACTGCCGCCACCATTCCCAACAGTGTAGAGCTGCTGTTCCTCAACGACAACCTGATCCAGAGCGTCGAGTCCCAGACGTTCGTCGGCAAGGTGAACCTGACCCGGGTCGACCTGTACGCCAACCAGATCGTCAGCATGGACCTTAACGCCCTGCAGCTGACCGTCGTGGACAAGGACCGGCCGCTGCCCGAGTTCTACATCGGCGGCAACCCCTTCCAGTGTGACTGCACCATGGAGTGGCTGCAGCGCATCAATAAACTGGACCACCTCCGCCGGCACCCGCGCGTCATGGACCTGGAGAGCATCTACTGCAAGCTGCTGTACAACCGCGACCGCACCTTCATCCCCCTGGTGGAGGCCGAGCCGTCCCAGTTCCTGTGCACCTACAAGACCCACTGCTACCCGCTGTGCCACTGCTGCGACTACGACGCCTGCGACTGCGAGATGACGTGCCCGTCGAACTGCACCTGCTACCACGACCAGTCCTGGTCCGCCAACGTGGTCGAGTGCTCCGGCGCCGGCTACACCGAGATGCCCAGCCGCATCCCCATGGACGCCACCGAGGTCTACCTGGACGGCAACAACTTCGGCGAGCTGTCCAGGCACGCCTTCATCGGCCGCAAGAACTTAAAGGTGCTGTACGCGAACAACTCCAACATCGCCGCCATCCACAACAACACCTTCGGCGGGCTGCGGCGGCTGTCCGTCCTGCACCTGGAGAACAACCACATCCAGGAGCTGCTGGGCTTCGAGCTGACCTCCTTGGAGGACCTGCGCGAGCTGTACCTGCAGGCCAACAAGATCCACCACATCGACAACCGCACCTTCCTGGGCCTGTCCAAGCTGGAGGTGCTCCGTCTGGAGGGCAACCGGCTCGTGGCCTTCCCCGTGTGGCAGCTCAGCCTCAACCCCTACCTGGTGAACATCGGCCTGGGCGACAACGAGTGGTCTTGCGACTGCCTGTACATCCAGAACTTCCAGTCCTGGCTCATGGACAACCTCAACAAGACCTCGGAGCCGCACCGCATCGGCTGCGTGTTCAACGGGCGGCGCGTGGGGCCGTCCTTCGCCAGCCTCAACGCCACGTCCTGCGCGGCCTTCACGGGGGGCTCGCCGTCGCTGGCCGACCCGCTCATCAACGACTACCTGCCGCTGGTGCTGGTGACGCTGTGCGTGTTCGCGGCCTGCTCCTTCCTGCTGTGCGTGGCCTTCTTCTACCGGCGCGAGCTCCGCGTGTGGGTGTACTACCGCTGCGGCCTGCGCATGTGCTACAAGACGACGGCCTTCGACGAGGAGCAGGACCGCGACCGCCTGTTCGACGCGTACGTCAGCTACAGCATCAAGGACGAGGCCTTCGTCAGCCAGGTGCTGTCGTCCGGCCTGGAGCAGGGCGACCCGTCCTACCGCCTGTGCCTGCACTACCGCGACTTCAACGTGAGCGCCTACGTGGCGGACACCATCGTGGAGGCCGTCGAGTCCTCGCGGAGGACCATCATGGTGCTGTCGCAGAACTTCCTGCACTCGGAGTGGTGCCGCTTCGAGTTCAAGTCGGCGCTGCACGAGGTGCTCAAAGACCGGCGGCGGCGCCTCATCGTGGTGCTGCTGGGCGAGCTGCCGCAGAGGGACCTGGACCCCGACCTGCGGCTCTACCTCAAGACCAACACCGTCATCGAGTGGGGCGACCGGCTGTTCTGGCAGAAGCTGCGCTTCGCCATGCCGGACGTGAAGCGAAGCGGGGGCGGCGGGCGCGGCGCCACGCGGCCGCACCACCACCACCCCCGGGCCGCCGTCAACCTGTACTCGGCCACCACGCCGCTGCACTTCGAGCGGCCCCCCATCCCCCCGCCCCCCAACGTGCACGGGCCGGGCGGCAAGGTGCCGCCGGTACCGCCCGCCTTCCTGCGCCAGGCCAACAACCTGACGCTGCAACACCAAAGACACCCGCCCCACCAACCCCTGTGGGCGTAGCCTAGCGCCGCGTAGCGTATTGCGGGTACTAATTCGCCCCAGGTAAGGCTGTACCAACTGCCCCCAGTGGTGCACGTGGAAGGGGAGCGGTGAGAAAAAGACTCTAGGCCAGAGATTATGTTTTCTACAAGACATTTCCTTCGCCTTCTATCCAGTCATTAGTGTAACTTGGCTAAAAATCTTAGGCTGTGAACTGCAAAATATTCCTATCTTTTTTTGTATGTGATGTTCGTGTTTGTTGTGGTTGTGTAGTTGAGAGTGTGTGTGGAACGCCCTCCGATACTCTGCAAACACAAAAGACTTTTTTGTAAGTGAAAGGGGTAGGATGAATGTATGCATGTGTGAGTGTGTGTCTGCGTGAGTGCGTGTGTGTGAGAGTGAGCGAGCATGTGCGAGTGAGGAACAAAGGCCGAGAAAGAAAGTGGGCAGTGGTGCCTGGGCCCCGCCGCCCCGCCCCAGCCACAGTGGAGGTGGCGTGAGAACTAATAGTCTGTTAACCCCTGCCGCCCCGCCCGGCCCGTTTCTTTAATTGCTAATGTTCTGGCGGCCAACAAAATGCGACTCACAGTATGAACTGCAGTGAGTCTCACTTTGTTGGTCACATGATCGCAGGTGTAAAATGGCTAATGAATTAGTAGTTATTTTGTTGTGGTTTCTCTCCATGTTTTTGTTCAGGGTTGAGCAAATTGTTTCTTTTTTGTGAGAATCAGGGAAACCTTACTCTCTCATGAAAACAGCCCGGTAGAAAAATTGACTTAGTCAATATAATTGTTTCATTCATTCATGAGAGAGCTCTGAGTTACCAATAGGCTTAAAAGACAATTATTTAATTATTTGTTCTTGTTATTTTTTGTGTTTTGTTTGAAAGCAATGATACGTGGTGGACTTTTTTGATTGCTAGCTCTGTTTTGTTTTGTTAAATCATCGAGTCCTAAGTCCAATTTCGAATTATGAACTGTGGTAAATTTCCTTAATGACAGTATCGTCGGGTTACACGGTATATTTGTAAGAACCGCTTTATCTTTTTCAAATAATCCACCACACGAAACTCTAGAATTTTTTATCATCGAATATTTTGGTCAGAAGGTACTTGCAAAAATTATTTGTAGAGACGTGCCATATTCTGTTCTTGCTTTTACATTTTGTACTTAACAGTAATTGTTTAGAACACGACTGAATTTATGAGATATACTTGAGTTGGAGCACTAATTATTTGCATTTATGAGTTCATGTTGTTCATAGTAAAATTTTGCTCATATTATGTTGCGATTGTGAATCTTACTAATAATGTCTCCTCACTTAAGAAAGAGTGGAAACCAAAGTTTTCAGTGTAACATGCATTTCAGAAAAAGGACCAGTGTAATAGGGCAGCGTCAAAAAATAAAACTAGCACTCAGCTCACAACTGATTGAGTGGATGACAGGTGTCAATCCGATTTTGGTTCTAGATTGAGCAATATTTGTCAACAGTTACTCTGTTATAGTTAGTTCAAAATTATAACTATTCCATTTGTAAATGGGCTCACTAGAGCTTATTACTATATAGTAAGCACAACTTCAGTCATTTACATTTATCCTGGTTAAGACCTACGGCTTGTAAAGAATGGATTTGCGAAAGACTGATTTGACTCTGAAATCTAATGGTAAAATGCTTTTAGATTATGACTGTTTTTATTCTGCTGACATGGATTTTGTCAATGAATGCTGGCTGACCCGTTGTTAAATCATAATTGGAGGTGAGGTACTTTCAATAATTGTCCTCTCAGACCATGGGATACTGATATGATTCATAAATTATTCTAAAGTAAGACTTAAGAGCATTGCATTATTTATTTTTGTATCAAATAAGAAAAATATAAATCGTTAATACTATGTCGAACTCCTGCATTTAACATTTTTTTTCCTTTCACGACCAAAAACAATAATCAAAAAATTAGAAGAGAGATCAAGGAGAACATGGAAAACTGAAAGAAAATACCGGTCGAGATAGTTTTTTAAAAGATGTCATCCACTTTATTTACACATTTTATAAACTTACAACAAAGATTGAAGCATCTTGAAAAAGAAACGTTAAAAAATGAAAAATTGCAAAGAAATAGTCAATACAGAAACGAGAAATGAAATTGAGACGATTTGGGAGTGTGTACCACCAGCACGAGAAAGGCGCACAGGCCTGGCAGTCCCGCCCGCAGCTCTACATAACGACTTTTCGCAACGTCGGTGGGTGCGGGTCATAGCCATGGAGGCCGAGACAGCGCTGCGTGGGTGCGTGGCGCGGCCTGGCGGCCCGAACCGAACCGGAGAACTGCCATCGGGAGATAGAGTTAATGAGCACTGCGTTAATGAGTGGGAACGAGAGGGAGGGAGAGAGAGAGGAAGACGAAGGCGCCCACGCAGCAGAAGACACCGAGCCGGGGCGGCGATTCGCCGCGACACTGCTTTATGCCGTTGTATAATTGAGACAAAATCGGCACAGCAATTACTGCAGCGCGGAGCACGGAGCGGCGAGCACGCTGCCAGCCTGGCGGCACTACCAACTTTCCGGAACAAATTTTGCAGGCACAACACCGCCTGGAGTTTCGCCGCATCCATCCTTTTCAGCCGGACAGCGACGTGGGCGGCGCTGGGGGTGGGGGTGGGGGTGGGGGTGTGGCTCTGCGGATCACGTGTGGAGCACCCCAGGGACAGGTGTATCGCAGGATATCGTTCTCTGAAAGGCAGGAAAAGGGTTGAGGAAAACGCTTCGCCCTGCGCAGCCCTGCGCAGCCATGCCCTGGCGAGGCCGTGGCGAGGCCGACCGCACCACCGCCGTGGCACGCTACGCTACGCTACGCCACGCCGCGCTACGCCCCGCGGCCATGCGCACACCCGCCGACCAGAGTGGAGTGGAGTGGAGTGGGTCTCGGTCGGGACAGTCCCGGAACGTCCCCGGAGTCGCCCCCGGCGCCGGACCAGGCCGAGTTCGATTCAGGCATTGTCACGTGACGAGCCCGGGGGCAGCCCCGGGGGCGAGCACAGTCACACGCACACAGCCGCACGCACGGGCCTTACGTGCTGCCTTTGTTACGCGCCTTGTTTTGGGACGGCATTACGAGCCGATTAAAGCACGGCCGGGGAAATAAAAGGACCGCGAGGGAGGATTCGAACCCGGGACCCGGGGTCGTTTGACACGCGTGCCGCCTTTGTGGGGGCAAACACGCCGAAAATAACGTCGTGCTGAGGCGCCTGCGGGGACGATCACCCGATGTCTAGATTTCAATAAGGATGGCCAGCGGCCGGCGAGGGGCGTGAGGCGAGGGTGGCGGGCGCACACAGTGGGCCAGAAGACGGTGGATGCGGTCAAAATCCCGGACGCGTTTTGACCTCCAGAGTCGCTAAAGGGGACCGAACCGAACGTGCGACCCCACCAATGGATTGCTCTCGAAACGAGGAATCCATTGGTGGGGTCACACGTTCGGTTCGAGTCCTGTTCAGCGGCACTGGAGCTCAAAACGCGTCTAGAGTTTTTGGCCGCCTCCACCGGCCTTCTGGCCCACTGTTGGGGGAGCCGCCCCCGCGAGGTGACCCTTGTAGTGGCGGATCGGCAGTCCTCTACTCCGAATGCAGGACCCGCAGCCCGCTCGCGGACCGCTCCGTCTCTCTCGCACACGTGCGGCGCCCCGTGTGGGTGCGAGAGAGACAGAGCCAGTTCGCAGTGGGCCTGGCACATCAAAGCGAGCGCCGTGCCGTCTCAGCCCTCCAGGCTCCAGCCGCTCCAGCCGCTCCAGCCGCCGCGGAAAGGCCCTCGCCTCGCACCGCTTGCTTCGCTTGCTCCGGTTGGCCCGCTTACCTTAGCACGCTTTAGCGGCCCTTTATTCAAGTTTCTTCTGTATCAGTCGCCGTCTATTCCGCGCGGCAACCTGCGGACAATGAAGGCACGCGGATAAATAATGGCGAAGGAAGGGGCGCGACGAAAAAGATGGGGCGGTATCGAGAAACGTGCGGCGGAGACACGTGAGGGAAAGTGACCGAAAGCGGGTCTAAATCCGTCCCGCGGGGATTTTTCCCTTTTTATCTCTTTTTTTCCCGCCGCGCGCGCTGCTGAGAGCCGTCCAACTCGCATCAGTGACCCGGCGCGGCGCGCTGTGACCCTCACTCCGCACCTCGCAGCACCTCACAGCACCGCGAATGCTGGCCAGCCAACCCTTGGGTGCGCTCCGCCGCCGCCGCCAGCGACCCTTCACCCTTGCAACCTGCAACCCGCTCGTCGCGGACGTCCTGCTTAGAGCCCTACAGTGCTCTCCGAACGAGGAATCCATTGGTGGGGTCACACGTTCGGTTCAAGTCCTGTTTAGCGACTCTGGAGCTCCAAACGCGTCTGGAGTTTTGGCCGCCTGCGCCAACAGTGCAGCCACACCTCGCGTAGATAAGGCCTGGCGGCGCCTGGCGGGCCGGCCTCGGCCAGAACAATGCGCAAGCAGCGCCCCTTGTTCGCGGGTAACAGAGCGCGCAAGGCCCGGCGCCGCGGTCGCGCCTTTTTCGCTTTTTGTGGGGCTCACTCCCTCGCCGCTCATTCAAGGCAAAGTCAACTACCGGGTGTCATTTCGGCCCGCGGGCGGCCCGCAGCGCAGACTGAGAGTCATTTTCATCGCTCTGTCTCCTTCGCACTCATGGGGTGTGATCTACAGGTGCGAGAGAGACAGGGCGACGAAAACGACTGGGTGACTGCTATTCAAGCCGTTGTCGCGACGTGCCGCGTCTCCGCAAGTGCGAGAGTGACTGCTATTCAAGCCGTTGTCGCGACGTGCCGCGTCTCCGCAAGTGCGAGAGTGACTGCTATTCAAGCCGTTGTCGCGACGTGCCGCGTCTCCGCAAGTGCGAGAGTGACTGCTATTCAAGCCGTTGTCGCGACGTGCCGCGTCTCCGCAAGTGCGAGACTGCCGCACTGTATGCCTCGCGCTCGAGGGTGGCGCCCTCGTGCGGCAGCCTGCGCAGTTACGGCAGTCTGGCCGAGTATGTTGACGTGGAAGTGCTTCAGCAGCCCTTTGAGGGCGTAGCGCGGCGTAGCGACGCGCTGCCACGGCGAGAGAGAGACACACTGCCTGAAGAGCCCGCCCGTCCGCGCCCGCACGCCTGTCCCGGAAGGCCGGGAAGAGGGAGGATGTCTCCAACACCTCTGGAAAACATCTCCAAGGGCTCCGAGGGCCGGGGGGGATGCCAAGGGGAGCGGAGTGGAGCCCCGCGCAGCGCTGCCGCGGGCCAAATTTACATTTGATTTGATAGATCGTTTCCTAGGTCCGCCCAGGAATATTTGGCGCGCAAGGTTTTTTCTTCCTCCCCGACGAAATAACGCCCCATTTAATTCCGCGGGGGTGGGGCCCGGTAGTGTGGGCAGGCCGCGGGCAGGCCCTGGGCAGCGTGTAGCGAGGGGCTAAGAGAGTGCTTTATGAATTGCACGCCCCAAATTAATGGCCTTTCGCGCACCGAGCTTTTTTCGCTGTTCCTTTTTACAGTTTTTCGGCGAGCGGAAAATGTTTGAAGGTTGCCGGGAAATTCCGTCCGGCTGGTTGGCTGCAGTGCGGCTTCCGCCCTTACGGTGGAGTGAGACGGGGAAGGAATTTTCTGATTAATTGGCGACAATGGGCCGCGATGGCGAGGAGGCGGCAGGCTGGTTGCGAACGCCGCGTCCGTCGCTCTGTCTCTCTCGCACTCACGGGGTGCTGCGTGGGCGTGCGAGAGAGACAGAGCCCCCCCCCCCCCCCCCCGGAGGCGGCGCTCCACAATGAAGGGTTCGGCGTCGACGCCTCGCGGCGCTCAAGTGAGCGGGAACGACATCTCGCGGAATGCACCTACACTGGCAGGGCTGCCACGGCCCGCCTGTCTGCATCTCAATTATTCCGGCTCTCGAGCGAAAAGCCCCTTCGGTGCTCCCCGGTGCCGCGGAGACGAGTTTGGCGCATCTTTCTTGGCGTCGGCCTACGCCTCACTCTGCCGCTGCGCCGCCACCGTGCAGGCATGGCGCAGCCGAGGCCTTCCCGCCCTGGCAGACGCAGCCCCGCACCGACACACCCACACAGCCTCACACAGACGCACCCACACAGCCTCACACAGACGCACCCACACAGACGCACGGCAGGCCTAGATCCGCGGGAAATCAATAGGCCCGTACCTACCGCTCTAATGCCCCCCGACAGGCGCTGGGCTTATCCATAAGGGATGGTCGAGGGGGCGGAGGCTCCCGCGTCTCTCTCGCGCGCCGACGGGGCGCCCCGCCAGTGCGAGGGAGACGCAGCCAGCCACTGTGCGGCGCCGTCCCGGACGACCAGCGGCCGATCATTATTCGCACGGTGTCATCGTCGGACGGAAAGTTGGCTGGCTGCGTGGCTGGCTGCCTGGCTGGCTGCGTGGCTGGCTGCGCACCGCGTCATGTGCCGTAATCAGCTGTAAGACCCTGCGGACCCCGCGGGGCTGGCGCGCTGGCAGCGCCATGGAATAGCTAATTGGCCCAGGCATTGCCGGCGTCGTGCGAGTCTCTGCGAACCCGGGTGAACCCTGGGGAACCCTGGGGAACCCAGCGAACCAGGCGGCAACTTCACCCGGACTTTTCACAGCCAGCAGGCCGTGCCCGCCGCGCCGTGCTCGCCGTGCGGGCGGTGAAAAGGACAGCCGAGTTGGGGCGGCGGGGGCGGCGGGGGCGGCGACGGCCCAAACACAGCCCCAACTCTTGCCCTCCGTGCGGAGTCCCCGTGCCCCGCGCGGAGGCCCGTGCCCCCGGAACCCCAAGTCGCTGTCTGTCATTCCCTCTGATTGCATGTCCGCTATATTTTCCTGCCTCTCACTAACTTTCTTTTTATGGCGGGCGTTGCGCCGGATAGCCTTGTTTGTCAAGTTCATCGGGGC